TCCAGCACGTAACTGCCGCACAGAAGTACCACAAATGGAGAAAAACACCAACCACTAGCTCTCTTCGGACTAGCCCGCCGCAAGGCCAAGACACACCCCTGATCCTAGCCCCACCCCTACCCCCGGCTCCGCCTCGACTCCCACTCCACCCACCACGCCCGGGTTCCCCTCAAGCCCCAGCCCCAGCCGGGTCCAACGCGTCTCTGGCGAGCTCCCGCCACTCACTGTCTTCTGCCCGAGCTCCGCCTCCCGCCACAGCTTCGAATGCCGTTCCAGAGCGCTCGCGAAGCCGCCTTGGCTCATTTCAGGCACTGCGGAATCGGAACTCTCACTCTCGGAGCTACTCTCGGTGCCTGAGCCTCGACAAGGCCGAGAGAGGAGAAACACTCGCCGGAGCTGGCTCTCGGCAGTGACGGCACGGGTCCTACACAGCGCCGCCATGACAGTTCCGCAACCTCTGACCTTGGACCTCTCCGCAGGCCCGCAGGCGCGCAGGCCACGGGGCGGAGCAACGAATGGTCCACCCTCGTGCCGAGCGCGGGCGACCCGGGAGTGTAATGGAGTCTGTGTAGGGAGCGGGCGTGCGGAGAGATGGTTATACTAAAATCGGTGAATTATATCGGTGGTGCCTAGGGGTCCCCTACTGGCTGCGATCTGCTAGGCTTTTCATGGAAAGTGTTTTTGACTTTCAGGAATTTCGTTCCTCAGAGCATCGTTTGGCCCTTGTCCTCCTGCAAATTCTGGTATTACTTATGAGACGTGCTAGCCCCACCACATGGGCTTTTATCCCTGATGGCCGCAAGGCTTGTTTTTCGGGTCTCTGCTCAACTAGGAGGGTCTCCGTGATTACCTTATTTAGAACTGGAACCCCAAACACATTGTCCGACTCCCCGGGTTTCCTTTGCACCATTTAGCATTAATATTGCTGTATAGTTTACTTAACAGTGTTTCGCTTTGCTTTCCAAAATTTGTAAACTCTTGGCTGTTGGATCCCTGATACCAGGCACACAGTGGGGTTCAATGAACGTGTGTGAAATCCTGGATCCAAGTTTGTCTTTTGCCGCCTCTTCTGAGATCCACTGAGGTTCAAAAAATTAATCTTTCTGAGACGTTTTTGTCACCTGTAGGTAGCTACAATTCCTTCTAAGTAATTACATTTCGGAATGTGCCTAAACAGATGCCACCAGACTCCCACCCTCATTCATGATTTTCTCCCTTTTCCTCATCAATGTTAATTCCCAGAATTTGCCCACCCTTTTCAAAACCAAGTGTTGATAAACTAAGCTGTCCATCTACTATCAATTTTATATTAACCCACAGTTATTTTAGAGGAGGTGACAAGCCCCTTTACAGTTCATTTACAAGTACTTTGACAGAAGGAATTTTTATGTGACCACAGCCCCTTTTTAGTAATATCTGACTACCTGGGTGGCTCAGTTGGTTGGGCGACTATCTTCGGCTCAGGTCATGACCCTGGAGTCCCCGGATTGAGTCCCACATCAGGCTCCCTTGCTTGGCAGGGAGTCTGCTTCTCTCTCTAACCCTCCCCCTTCTCATGCTCTCCACATGAACCTTGGAACGGTGTGTAATTGTATGCACCACAGAGTTTAGTACTACTAGCCAATTAGGGTAATCCTTACATAAGTTCACTAGGGTGCTTAAGAAACTCCAGGGTGGGGCGCCTGGGTGGCTCAGTGGGTTGGGCCTCTGCTTTCAGCTCAGGTCATGATCTCAGGGTCCTGAGATCGAGTCCCGCATCGGGCTCTCTGCTCGGCGGGGATCCTGCTTCCTCCTCCTCTCTCTCTCTCTCTCTCTCTCTCTGCCTACTTGTGATATCTGTCAAATAAATAAAATCTTTTAAAAAAAAAACAAAACTCCAGAGTGTTCTCCTTCTTGGCGCTTCAGCCATTTATTTTCTTTGACCATTAATGAAGTCTTACCTGAGACATTTTTGCGTTGTTATCTGTGGCTATTGCTACTTATACTTCCCTTCAGGAAAAAGTGGTAAATTGTAAAGAGCATTGGCCAGTGACCTCATGAACCCCTTAGTTCGAGTTCTGACTGTAATCCTGACCTCTAGCACATCAATGTAAGGTTGATTTCGCTTCCTCACTTATAAAGCCAAGCCATTAGCTTAAGAGAATTGATCCTAGAAACCAAGAAGAACAAAGCATGGTGAAATGGAGTGTTAAAGCAAAAAATCATACCCACTTACAAATATTCCAATAAAATTGGTGTTGGGTTTTTACTGTATGCTAGGAAAACCACCAAATTAAAAGAATCACACTACCAAACCACCTCACTCCGTAATCAAAATTGTGTATGAGAGTTGGCAAGAAATTTAGTCACCAAGTAGCATTTATGTAAGTACGAAATCCTGGCTGGTGATAGGTACTTGCAGCCCCTGCCCTCTGAAGGCTTATAAACTAAGAGTTGTTTCCACTCATTGTGATTTTGGTTCATTTTGATTTCAGAGTCTGAATAATATGGGCATTAATTGTATAAGGTTTGCAGGTTTACTGAAAAGTGATAACTGCTTTATATTAAGTCTAACCCAACACAGTCTCTATAATTAATCCAATTACAATAGGTCGGTCCCAAATTAATCACCAAATGTTTCTTTGGTATGGGCAAGAAAATCTGATTTTTCATCTGGGTCTTAAAAGCTATAAAGAAACACATATGATGTTGACATGGGACCTTATGCAGCATCTCCTCTACATACATAAACCAAATAGTCACTTATAATAAACATGTAGCTTGTTCAGTTTTGATACACTAATTCCATATAGCTACTTACGGTTTTTTCCCCATATCTAAATTACCAAGTGTCTGGAGAGAAGTTGTAATAATGGATTCACCTCTTTCCCTGACATGTAATACATACAAAAAGAACCCATACCCAAATTACAGAATTTTTATTGTTTTCAAATACTATACAAAAAAAAAAAAAAAAAAATAGTGTGCATTTCATGACAAACAAATCCAGAAACAGTGATTCCAAATTTTTTCCTTCTCTATTTCAGTAGTTTGAGTTACTAAAAGAATAATCCAGTGAATTCTCTCTTCCATTGATTACTTTGGCCTCATAAGCATGAGAACTCTTGCTTTATTTTCCACAAACTCCATAAATTGAAGACAATCCTTTGTAAAAAGAGGTTAATTTCAGAGATTTCCTTCTTTCACACTTCTTGTTCACTTAAACATCTGAGATTTCACTCTCAAGTTACTGTTTTCTTTCAGTGTCAAACACAAAATTCAATAGCATGACCAGGACCTCTCTGGTATTTTTAATAATTACTGTGTTCCAAATTTCTTAAATATCTGTGAATTCGTAATATTGAATCTTCCACAATGACTATTCTGAATAATATTTCTACCTCCATATGTTTGTCTAAATTCAACCTCTCACTACTTTTTACTACTACTTTTAAGATGCAGAGTACTTTGCAAAAGATTAAATCATTTGAAATTAAGTAAAGGTAGATGTCTGGAAAAGCCATTCTCCCAATTTCTTTCATGACCATCACCAAGTACCCACATACTACCATCCCATTTTCCATTCCTTAGTCTATCATTTCTCATTATAAAGCAGAGATCTAAATATATTCCACTCAGCTAAAGTTGAAAGATAGTAACAGGGCAGGACACCCAAAAAACAATGTGATGAAAAGAGGATGTTGTGATTTAAAAAAAAAAAGAAAAGAAAAATGAAAGACTGGTTGGAAAAAAAAATAATTTAACAGTTATGATGAGTAACCACAGTATTTCTATAAAAAGACAAATTTTTACAGATCCAGTCCTCCAGGACAGCACTTCAACAACTGGGCAACTGCCTTAAAGCCTCTTCAAGGAAATAATATATATGTTAGTCTGACACCATTACGCAGTGATTTAAAGCAGATAGTTAAAAAAAAAAAAAGTTATGTTTTTTGTTTTTTTGTTTTTTTGTTTTTTTGCATAGACACCAGTTGATTATTTAATACAAGCTGTTTCCAGATCACTGGTCTCACAATAAATATTGAGACCTATAAGACTCATATACAGAATTTATTAGGCTTTTTACATTTAATAGAGCATATTTTCGGTTGCATCTAAAATGCTATAACAAAAACTCTAGCAATCAAGAATGGCAGCGTGTTACTCATAACAACCAACACTTGTGGCTTTTCAAATTTGGTTTTCGTAAGATAATTTATCCTGAAGTAAATCTAGTCATGCTTAAAAAAAAAAAAATGCCTCAGGTCACTCCAAGCTTGGCAATTAACATTTGGCATAAACAATACTAAAACAATTACAGCTTGATAAATAACAAATACAACATTATAGGCCATAACCATACACAGAATAATGAAAGGTCATAGTGACAAATAAGTAAGTAATTAGAAGAGAGTACCTTGGCCTCCATGCAGATACTTCTAGAGGCTTTGGTTCATTCAGCCCTGCCATTTTTTTCAAAGTAGAGGGGCAATGTCTACAGTATCACTTATGCATTAAATCCTCAGGAGTTATCACCAACCCCTTAGTATAAAATCTTTTCAAGTTATATTAGTCATACAACTTTGTGTGCTCATTTTTAAATGGTGCTAAATGAATTAAATGAAGACAGCAACGTTCCCCCTAATGTGATTGATTTTAGCATTTTTACAGCTACTGAGATCTAAACAATGTTCAGGCTTTTGAATGGAACAGGTGATGAGTGTTCCTATTCCAACCTACTGGTAATTAGGAGACGCCTGAATCAAAATGTTATTTTGCAACCTACTCTGAAACTAGAAATTTAGTCTCACGACAAGTAAGTCGAGAGAAGTCGCATAATAACAAATACACTGAACGTGTTATTATCACAAACGGTGACAAGAATGTGAGGGTTCCGCTCTCAAGTCATCTAGGACTCTGAACCGCTGCACATGTCGTCACTTACCAAACTGTAACAAACTGGAAGTCGAGCTAACTTATTTATACTTAGTCTGCTGTCTTCAGACACACAAGATACAAGATTACCTTCTACCAGAACAATGTTTATTCAAGAAACATTTCCTGTAGCTGGTCGTTCTTCCCTCGGAGCTAAAGAAAATTATGCCAAAACTTGTAATAACCAGGATTCAGGAAATTTTAAAGAACATTTTAGTTAGCAATCAAATACCCAGAGGTTCAAGAAGGAGACAAGAAAATCGTATTGAAGACAAAGATCAAAGTGGCATCCCAGATCCAGAGCAATTTTGTAAAGGAGGAAAGCAAGTATGATAACCTGAAGCTTCTTAGATCATTCTAATGAGGATCCCCAGGGATTACATGTGTTGTTGTTGTTGTTGTTGTTGTTGTTGTTGTTGTTGTTTTATAATAGTGTTTCCTAAATCAGGGCCCTTAAATGCACATTAGAGGGTATTTCCCAGGAATCAGAGGTGAAGATAGTTTTATTCTGTTCAACCCACAAACTATTTGGTCAAATGAGTATGTAAAGCTAAGTGAAAGCACATCTGGTGGAAATTCGCGGCGACGACTGTTGACGAGACGTGCTTGGATCTTGCCTGCAGCATCTGGCAGTGGGCAGCCGAACAAAGGTGAGGGCCTCACGGGTTCGCCTGCGTCTGTTCTGGAAGAGGCTCTGGGGCGCCGGCACTGGCATTTGCCGTTGAATTCAAGACTTCGCCAAAATCCCCGCCAGCTGGCTTGGTTCCCCCTACTTTAGACTTAAAAAAAAAAAAAAAAGGTTCAAAAAGGACAAGACATCGCGAAACATAAACTCAGCTGACTCTGCCAAAAAGTAACTCAAATTTTACTTTGAGGATCAAATCCATCCGGAACCTGCTAGCCCAGCGACGGTCATATAGGCGCGGAGTTCAGTACTGCTGCAGTGTTCCACGCAGTTAAACAGAAAACCGTGCGGGGGGTCCTCTGCGGGAATACTCAGATTGGTAGATGCTAGCGCTCCTCTTTTTTCCCATCTGCTCATCATTCCTCCCAGGAAAATCTGCCCAAAAAACTTCTGAAGACCTACTACTCTCGAATATCTATTGGCAGTCTCTCAATATTTGGAAAACACTTTAGCTCCATCAGACTGTTCATTCAGCTACACTCATTCAAGAAATACTGAATCTGACAAGCAAAGAAATCGATCTGGTTTTCCCAGTTACAGCATAAAACCTCCTAATGCGCTGCTACTTACAGTGTGGTGCAAAGATCCCCAGACTGACTCAGTGTCCCCTGGGAGCCTGTTAGACATGTAGGCTCAGCCCAGCCTCCCCACCTCCATCTAGAGATCTCCAGGGGCTTCCTAGACAAGTTACAGTGTGTGAAGCACTACTCCAATTTATCTGGCCTGAAATTTTGTCAGTGAACATCTGTCTGCATGAATAGGTCTGCCTTACGTTTGTATCATACTTTATGCTTTTCAAAACCCTTATTATGTCATTTCATCCTTAACAACACTGACCTATCTATGCTCTCTGTTACATCTCCTTACTGACCAACGGGACAGCTGACTAACATTGGGAAACCAGTCAGTAACCCACAAAGCAACTCACGGTAGGTTTAACTTGACCCTGCTCTTAGTTGAATCATAACTGACTAGCCACATTATCAGTTGGAATCTAGCTGAAATTTTCTCTCACTCTCTTTGGTTTCCCATCCACGATCCTTAAACTGTTTGGAAAATCTGCACGACTTTTGTCCACTGCATATTTACTAATTTATTAAAACACATTTCTTTATTACAGGAAAAGTTTAAAACCCTTGCAATTCAACACGTCTAATGCAGGACTCTTTCTACAACTGGTCCCTTCTCTATTCCTCCTTAACTTTAATCGGCTGTAGCAGCTACCTAGTTGGCCCAGTCGGATACCTGGGAGAGAATCCTTGATCCTTCCCATCTTGTGCCACATCCAATCCAACGCCGACTTTCAGGCTGTCATTTCTAAATTCTAAACATCTCTGAAACCTGTCCCATGGGCACTACCTTAACTTGCCTCACCACCATCTTGGCCTGGATTACAACTCCTTTGTCCTAACTAGTCTTCCTGACACCAGTCTTCGTTCCCTCAGCTCTGCAGGGCACCAGTGATCTTTCCAAAATGCACAGCATACTCTACCCACACTGTTTGAAATCCTTTAAGGCTTCCCATTGCCCCAAGTCCAAATTCTTTAGTGTGGCCTACCCATCGCCCTAGCTTCATCTCCTGCTCACTACCCTACAAGCACAGCAAAGTTCCTGGTATTCCTGAAAAGGGCTCCAAAGCTGCAAACATTCCCCTCAACCTCAAAGCCTCCATTTATATTATTGTGTCCTGTGGGAAGCCTTCCCCTTATCTTCCCTCCTAGGCCAGGTCAGACATTCCTGCTACTAGTCCCACTGCATCCCCGAGTCTCCCTGTCGTGGCACCTGACCTCACTTTATTTTCATTGACCATTAAATTGTCTACCCATCTTACAAAAAGGGTCTCTGTCTCTTGCTCACTGTGGTATCTCTGAGGCTTACCCCTGTCACATGGCAAATGCCCAATAATCCCAGATCCATGAATCATTCCAAAATCTAAACCTAAGTACATGGAGACCTGATGTTTAATTGAATATAAATGTAATCTAGCTAAATTACATCCCAAGCATACAACCATATTTTACAGTCTTTTGAGGTTATGTTTCATAAACTTCACTTTTTAAAAAAATTACAAGTTTTTTATCTGAATGGTGCCTAGTCATGTCTCAAAAGCCAAGTTTCACCACAATTTATAGAAGCTAAATATACTCAGAGGGAGAGTATGTAGTAAATGACCTGGACTTTTCTCCTCACCTTCAATGGCAAAAGAATACAGTTGTCTGGTTTTCCAACCAGTCATTTCAAAAACTGATGCTTAAGGCAGATTTCAAGGCGAGGCTTATCACGATAAACCTCAAATAGTGAGAACTGAATTATAGTAAGCCTTGACTTCTACAATGTACAGTCTATTTTCAAATACATGACTAGGCATTAAAAAGAATAGAGCAGGTCTCATACTGACCTAGAAGAACAACTAGGATAAAGATTTTGCTCATCAAATATGTATTAAGCTGCTTCAATGTGCCAAGGACTATTCTAGGCCTTTGAGAAGCATCAGTGACTAAAAGGAACAGGTGTCTGTGTCTATGGGATCATAGAGCACGTATGCTAGTGGGGGCTGAATAAACAATGTTATAGGACTGTCTGTGCAGTGTGATTCCTTTCTGAAAAATGTTTATGCATTTATGTAGAAAGAGAAAAGGTGTGCATTTGTGTCTGTGCAAGAAAAAAAGGTCCAGGTATTGGAAGAGTGTTTGGTTTTCTTTCCATAAGCATCCCCTGCTTCTGCAATTTAAGAAAGAAGCATTTAGGGGCACCTGGGTGGCTCAGTCCTTAAGTGTCTGTTTTCAGTTCAGGTCATGATCCTCGAGTCCTAGGATCAAGCCCTGCATTGGGCTCCCTGCTCCACAGGAAGCCTGTTCTCCCTCTCCCACTCCCCATTTGTGTTCCCTCTCTCACTGTGTCTCTGTCAAAAAAAATAAATTAAAAATCTTAAAAAAAAAAAAAAAAGGAAAAAGGAAGGAAAAAAAGTTGCATTTAGAAATAAGTGACTCCAGTTACTATTCTGAAAGACTGAATCTGAATATTTGTTTTTAAGCAGATTTATATAAAGGGTTTAAGATAATGCCTTTAATCCTTAAAAACATCTACAGTACTTAACAGATTTAGTTTAAGAAGAAAGTTAATACTGGCTTTGCACAAATTCTGTAGAGAAGGTTGGGCAGTAGATGGGACCTAAGACAACCTTTCTGGCCACTGGTGATCCTAAGAGTTGGTGATTTTATAATTTTGAATATAATCTTGAAAATAATACAATTTACAAATTAAGAAAGCTAGTCGTGGAAAAATGCCCACCTTCCCTGAAATCAAAGCCATCAAAAAATAAAATCATGCATCATCAATAATGATCACCATGGCATCCCCATCATTATCTTAAATGTCTAATAACTGAGGACTGAACAAACATATATGTCAGAAGGTACATGTAAGCAATCATTAAACCTAATTTTGAGGAAGAATATTTAATGACATAGGAAAATGTTGTGGTATTTGGTTAATTCCTTCTTAAAGCACAAAGGCATAGTTGTACTACATACATATCGCTGACTGTAGGTGATAGGACCAACTTTTTTGTGTGTTACTTTTTGTGCTTTTGTAATGTACTTATTAATTTTCTACGATAAAATTTATATTAATTTTTATCTGGTTATAAAAGTATTTGAGTCACACAAAGTTCTCGAGTACTACTGCTTTTTAAATCCTACATTTCCTTTCAGCATTTAGCTTCTGCCATGCTACAACATACACTCAAAAAATGGATTAAAAGAAAATACATCACCCATAATAATGTAAATAAAGTTATTAAAGCTCTTTAAATACTTTTAGAAAGAAAGAGTAATGAGAATAATTTACCCACAGCAAAAAAAAAAAAAAAAAAATTAAGGTACCAAGTAAGACATCACTATTCGTCTCTACTTGCCTTTAAGTTTTCAACCTTTTCTTCAAATGATTTGAAAGTTGGGGAGTTTCTATGGAGAGAAAGAAAAACAAAGAGTTCTATTACAAACACTGAACAAAACTCACTAGCTTGGCGCCATTAGTTGACTGTATTCCTCTTCACCATTATTCTCGGTCAACAAAGAGACCGATATATTTAACTGTACATGTGTGTGCAGGCACACACACAAATCTGCATCATTAGATAGGACATTACTAGGTAAGATGATCCGTTTCGGGTCTAAGATTTCGACAACAATGCCTTCAGTTCCACAAACGGCCTGTCTCAGACATACAGGACAACAGATGGAGTCCAGTACATGTGTGAGGAGAGGGAACAAAGGCATGTAGAACATCGATTCTGTCATTTCACCCATCTAGTCATGCCACTTTACCTTTGGTGACCGTACTATACTCTAAAACTCGAGTTTAAATTCCCATGTTGCCTGGCCAGAGCCCTACAGTAACCCATATCCCCAAGCAGGACAAGCAGACCACGTTAAGTTTCCATGAACAGGGATCCTGGTTTCCAGGGAGCAGCATTAGAGACCAAGAAAGGGAGACCGAAAGGAAGAGATGTGGTTTCGTCGACATCACAAAGCTTCCCCGGGGGACAGAGCACTCGGAGCCCAGGCCTTCACAGGCCTTCCCACTCATCTGTATTAATTACGGAGGATCACAGCACCTATGTTGCTCACATCTGGGTTTCCAAACTGCCAGACTTCACCTGACCTCGAATATCCTTCATGTTACCCTAGATGGAAAAGGTGAAGAAGGGAACACGGGGTCTCCTCCCTCCCACAGTGGGGATGGGCAGCCAGTGGCAAGGGGCGGGCCCCCAGATGCATCAGTGACTCTTGGGAAGCTTTGGCAATGCAAGTCCTCAGGCCCCACCTCAGGCTTACAGAAATCAGAAACCAGAGGAGGGGCCCAGCAAACAGGGGGGTTTAACAAGCTCTCCAGGTAGTTCTGAAGTTTGCTACAAGTTTAGCCAAGCATGTATGGTTAAAAGTCCCCTTCAACGGACGAATGGATAAGGAAGATGTGGTCCATATACACTATGGAGTATTATGCGTCCATCAGAAAGGATGAATACCCAACTTTTGTAGCAACATGGACGGGACTGGAAGAGATTATGCTGAGTGAAATAAGTCAAGCAGAGAGAGTCAATTATCATATGGTTTCACTTATTTGTGGAGCATAACAAATAGCATGGAGGACAAGGGGAGATGGAGAGGAGAAGGGAGTTGAGGGAAATTGGAAGGGGAGGTGAACCATGAGAGACTATGGACTCTGAAAAACAATCTGAGGGTTTTGAAGGGGCGGGGGGTGGGAGGTTGGGGGAACCTCAATGGGAGGTTGGGTGGGAGGTGGTGGGTATTGGCGAGGGCACGAATTGCATAGAGCACTGGGTGTGGTGCAAAAACAATGAATACTGTTACGCTGAAAATAAATTAAAAAAAGAAAAATTATGGGGGCGGGGGGGAAGTCCCCTGCCTCCCTAGAGAGGTAAGCGTGGTAATAACATACGTCACTTGCATGGGTTTCATAATAAAAGCGGACTATACAATTAAATCACAGCTGGATCCAAATGTCACCGTGAGATGAGGGAAGTGGAACTGGAAGGATGGAAGAGAAGAGGAGCAATTAAAGCTAATGTAGGCAGATGTGGTGGGACACGTATTATAGCTGCGAAAAAGCAGCTTCGTTAGATGAGTCGTGTTCATGTTTTCAATTAAGCAGATTAAAGATATGAAACAATATTATGGGTTTTCAAAATATAAGAGAGATAATTTTTTTTTAATCACAAATCTTGAATGTATCTCTCACACCCTCTTAACATCACACGTAGAGTGAATGAAACTGACAGAGTATGACGCTCAGCTGACGTAGAGCAGAACCCTAGGTCTCTGTTTCAGAACAGTTCAAGTTCAACAGCTAAGTAAAGAATAAGTACTAAGTAAGATCAAGTACATTTTGTAAAAATATACTTTACCTCATAGCAGGCATGCTAATTGAATGTTGAATGGAGCGGATACTAAGAGGCAGCATTAAAAAGAGATAGACATGAAGTTAGTACCGTGATTAGACATGATAAAACCCTTCTTTCTAGAAGCTTATTCTTTTGGCACCATGAAGACTTAATCTACTTTTTGAGGTGGAGGGGATCAAAGTCATTCCAAAATTATTTTTATTCTTGAGCCAATTTGTTAAAAATTTTTCAAAAAAATTTTTTAGTTTGTTTATTTATTTATCTATTAAAATAATCTCTATACCCAACATGGGCTTGAACTCATGACCCCAAGATCAAGAGTCACATCCTCCACAGACTGAGCCAGTCAGGTGCTCTTCATGAGCCAATTTAAACCACGTAAGTTGATAGAACTAATAATTCAACCTTACATTTTACAGCACTTTGGAAACTACAGTGCTTTCACTGTGGGTCATCTAGCACCAAGGCTCAGAAGCTAAATGATTTACCCAGGGTCATAGTAGAATCAAGAATGGAACCTGGGTCTTCCTGATTCCTAATTCAATGTTCACCGCCTCCCCTCAAAAAAACAAACAAACAAACAAACAAACAAAGCACACATAGAGGCGCGCGCGCGTGCGCACACACACACACACAAATGAGGCTGAAGAAGGGCTCCAGTAGCTGTTTTTCTCCCACAGATTTGTGATCAGACCAAAATAAATCACCTATTTGACAACTTCAAGTCAGATCAGAGATCACTCCTTAGTAGTAGTATCAATTTTCTAATAAAAGACACTTGTATTTCATCCCCATTAACTAAATGTTCTTAATGGTCATTCAAATACCATCTGGCCCTTTGTTTTACCAGGACCAGCTTCCTTCTCTAGGGCAATGTGGTTCACTGACCACCCAGGTTCAAGGTTATCTACTCTCAGCCATCTCCCATAGAGACCACCTCACAAAATGAAAGTACTTTAATATTATGGCTCACAAAGTCACTGTAAATTGATGATATGATTGTTGTCCTTGAAATATTCTGATCACTGGCACAGCACTTTTGGCAGGAAATCTTTCCTGCGGTTAAGCTGGACAGTCCAAGGTATTCTCAATTATATTTGAATATTGCATGTGTGATTTAGTTTTCTCAAAAAAATCTGTTTTACAAATGATAATGCATTTCAAAAGACGCTCCCGCAATCTAGTTTTGCACTAATATGTAGTGACATGGGAGTATGATCTTGACATAAATCAAAATATGCTCGCAGTTCACAATCAAAATAATTGGTAAAATATTTGGACATTTTCATACTTAATGTTGTACATGACAGAAGCAAAGAGCCATACAGCTCACCATTCTCTCTATACTATAAGAGTGGTAGATAACTTGGATATAAGACTATTCTCTAAGAGGAATTTGCTAATTCTTTTCCTCCTTGATCCACTGCAGTGGGCTGGATCCATATTTGAAGGACAAAGAGGAATAAAAATCATCCTTCTTAGTTTACAATTCTAATTGTTTTAATTACAGTAGTTTGCGATAGCTTAGACCCTTCTAAAGTCTGTCTGCATAATCACATTTCTCCAGCCACTTTCCATCATCCTCAGTGATGATAACTGGAGCAGTGGAGCCCTAACCACAACTAACCTCCTGCTCATCTACAAATTGTTTGGACTGAACGAAGAAAAGGGGAGGAAAAAAAGAGACCAATTAAGGTTATTTTCTTATCCTGGGATTTTGTAATTAGGACACTAAGCCATTGGTCAGTTAGTGGCTAAGTACATGAGCTAATAAAGTTATGCAGGCTTAGATGTTAAGGAAGACCTTTTATGGGACCAGGAAGGGCAAAGCTGCAAGACAGCAAAGGAAGCGAGTTCCCAAAAAAAAGTACTGAACAGAAGCACAGAGGGAGGTAGAGGAAAGAAAGGAGAGAGGACCATGTGGGGAAGGTTAGGGGGAGGGGAGGAGCAGGTGGGAGAGGAACAATGGTTTCCTTGGTTTCTGGAAGCGACCTTGATTTCTACCAGCTTTCCAATCAGCACGCCTAGTCTGGGTGGGTCCAGGACTTGCTTCCTTTCCTCTTCTTGGATTCTCTTTCTGTGAAGCACATTCCCCTTCTTAGGTCAGCTAATTTACACAATATTTTGTTCCTCATAACCAAGACTCTTCGCTAGAACATTCATTTTGGCAAAAATTACCAAATTCTGGCAAAAGGAGAAGAGTTACAGCTGAATGTGTGATAAACTGCTTGTTCGTGGGACTCACTCACTGAATTCACAGTATTGACAAAATGAGGAAATAGGTGGCAAAATTGCCAATTTCAGAAGTCCACAGCTAATCCTAGCCACTGTCCCTAAGCACCATGTAAAAGCTTATTCCTTCCAATGGTCATTTGGGGAGCTCTGTGCCCCTTGAACATACAAGCTAGTTAAGAGGGAATGGGGTCAAAGGCAAAGTGGAAGAAATAATCATAAAACGCATTCTAAGTGCATCAAGTTTTAATCGTACTAAATTCAACATCTGGAGCACAAGTTACTTCAGGATTATCCTACATGTAAGAAATCAGCCCTGGGGCCATAAAGTTGAAGAACGGAATTGTAAGTCACCTGGAATTATCAGGGGATGGAGAATGGAAACAAGAAGGCAGTGGAGAGCTACACATGAGTCTAATCAAGGGGTCTCCCCCGATTAAGTAAGAAGATAGATGGTAATGGAACATCAATGCAAGGAGACATCAGGAAGAAAAGGGTAAACTGACAAATAAGGTAAACAGGAGAAAACAGTAATATTGGAAATACAGATAACTTTTTAAATGTTTGATTTTTACACTGTTATTACAAGAAAGGACTACCAATATCCTTCCAAGAAAACCAAGTCAGAAGCTGACAATCTGGGGCACTTACGTTATGAAGCACCTCACAGGCCCCAATAAATGATTTCTGCAGTGTGACTTAAAGAAGAATGTTAAAAATGATCACTTGGAGAAATATAAGAAACAATGTAGCATCTCTTGTAAGGCCTTCAGGGTCCTACTTGCTAGTGTCGAACTTCCATTAGCCATTAGCCGCAAAGACAAAGGGAAGAATACACACACTTAATGTTTTTGTGGGAATACATAAGGAAAAGGAAGGAAGTGATAATGATAAGGTGTTTATTTTGTGATAAATCATGGAGTTGAATTTGGTTGTGAGCACCTTTCTTTAGGTTTTGTATTTCACAGTAAGGTTAAAAATATACTCACTGAACAGAGAATGAGATCAAAGTAACACAGATTCATATGAAGTGTGGGTCTCCCTGCATCTGAAGTAGCCATGTTGATAGGGAGTACAAGGAGTACCCAGCAATTTCAAATCTACTCAGTTATTTGAACTTCTCTGTAATCCACATATAGAAGAAATTCCATTTTGTTGGTGGCTAGTCTGTAATTCCCAGGGCAGCTGTTCTTGCTCTCCTAGATTCCCTATGGAAAGCTACACAAAGCTTCAACTTGCCTCAACTTACCTAACATCTCCAATCTCACTGAAGTTTAACTATGGAAAACTTCAGAAGCAAAAAGCCATGTTGCTAGGAGACCAGAGCGGTCTTTAATAGATACATTGTGAGGATTAGTTAACAACCATAAGGCAAATGTTGTTAAAATTTTTCCATCTTGAATGGCAACCCTTAAATATATAGTATCAAAAGTAGTAATGTAAATCTGGGTTCCTCAAAACACTGACCAAAAAAGAAACCAGATAGCAACCAGGTTCTCACTAAATGCTTCTCAATCTTGTATTTACTCTTACTTTAGAAAAGTTATTCTTTCAAAAAACTGAATTTTTTTTTTACATTTTCCTTGTTTCTTACCCAGTTACTTGATCTCTTCACCCCTAATCACTATGAAGAAGGCTGCATAAAAGGAGGAATGAGGAAGGAAGGAAGGAAGGAGTAGGTAGGACACAGAGAAAGGAGGGGAAGGGTGAACGGTTAATGCTTACTATGCGCCAGTCACGCTGTGTTATTATTCCGTTCTGCCCTCATGGTAATTCCTTGACTGAAAATGATAAACCAAGGTAACCACCGGGCAGTGCCTAGAGGGACATATTCTTCAACCATCATGGCTTTGGGGAAGCAAAACAATGCGGAGAAGAAGAATGCAGGCTCCAGAACTAGGGTGCTGCTGGGGTTCAAGTCTCAGCCTTCAACCACTTAGCTATGTGACCTTGGGGAAGTCACTTAATCTCTCGGTGGCTTTGTTTCTTCCGTACAATTAAAAAAATAAATAAATAAATAACAGCACCTCCTTCAGAGGGACTATACAGAGCCTTGCCTGGAGAATAATTAATTCACCATTATTACTACTACTACTGAGGACTTTAATGGAAACACACGTTAACATTTATTTCACATTAGATTATAGTTAAAACTTTCACATTGTACCCAGTTATTTCAGTGGTAACTCGAGCCACACAGTCCAGACCAGGGGCTGGCACATGGCTAGCATTCAAACAAATACTTTTGAATGAAAGAATGAATGAATGAACAATCGTGGTAACTGAAGTTAGGAAATATGTGCGTGAAAGGGAGAAAAGTTCAATAAAGCTTCCCAAATTCTAATCAAGAAGTACTCTCTGAAAGAGAAGACGTCATTTCTTTTCCCATTAAGTGGTGGAAATTTTCAGCAAAACAGAATTGTCCGGAGTTACTTTAATGAGCACCCCCCCCAAAAATGTAGAGGTTTTTATGAAGAAATACACACATAAAAAGGAGAAACTTCCTTTGGAAATAAGGGCAAAGTTAATGAGCACTTCCTCCTACATATATCAAAGGTACTGCCAGAGAGACTACTGAATTACAACACTATACTTGAATACTAAAAACTGAGGTTTAATACTGGCACCAAGGAAAATGAGAAGGCTCTTTCAAAATTCCTCTCAAAAAATTAAAATCATGAGTCAAAGCTCAGCACGTATGTGTAGAAAATAAGCAAACAGGAGAGGGGTGGATATGAACATACCACCCGGGGGCGGGTGGAGCTGGCTGTCCCTACAAGGCCTCCCATTACCCTGCCCCATGTCTGGCCGCCCCACACCTAATTTTCAGGGCATTCAAAACAGATCTCTCCATCTCTCTTGTTTCCTCTGCTTCGTCCTCCTCACACACCCACTTGAGGTGTAAGACAAATTTCTAAATCCCAAGTGCCAGTTTATTAACTGACAATGTGGCATAAAAACTGTTGCCGAATCTAATAATTCACGTCAGCAAATCATCCACAATTCAGTCAGAGAGAGAAATCATCGCCTCAGGCTTGCTGGGTAAGCAGGGACTCAAAGGGTAGTTGACAGGATTAACCAGCTATTTCAAGCACTTGGCAGAAAGGCCTCCTGTATCAGTCTCCACAAGAGAAAAGGCCTTGTTGGGACTGAAACCGTCAAAACCTACTGTCCACGTTCCCTCTCCCTGGACAGTTTCTGGGGCCAGTACTGGCTCCCTGAACTCACGGACCTAAAAGATGTGGTCTTTCTTTCTATAGGTTTTCTATTATGTATTTCTAGTACATATGTTTTCATATGTTTTTATGATATCTGAACACATTAAATCAGATTACGATCAGGGCTTCTTGACCTAGAAATGATTTACGTGACTTTAGCCAACTTTTAACCTGTGAAAATTATAAAATTTAGCTTTCAGAAGATAAGAAGATAATCTCATGTCTCTAAATTTCCAAGTTTTAATCAAAAGCCTTACTTTAACCTTCACATATCAATACATGCTATATTATTAACGGAGGAGAGTCAGAAGAAAGGCAGGCAGGGACCAGGGCTCGCTCCTAAAAGATTATTCTACAATACCCTGGAGGGAGCCCTCCACCCTTTCCCACGTGAACAACTCCATGATAGGCAAATGAGCATATGGACAAAACCTGATTGGATGACAGGTGCGTATTAACCAGATTAAAACAACCCGCCAACATCTCATAAAAATCCCTAGACTTAGAAACTCCCAACGGTAACCCTCTCGGGTTTCCTCCCTCGTGGGGAGTTTTGTATCATCCTCAGTAAAACTGACTCTCACTCAACAAACTTGGCTTTGCTGCCCACCACTCTTCATCTGGTTTACCTCTTTATTCTTCCAAGAGCCATGACCAAGAATCATGGGCTCTGAAGGAAAAAAAAAATCCCCACTCCATCCGCTCAAAGATTCTAAGGTCTTTCCATACAAAAACCGTATGTGATTTGTGGTTATGTTCTTTGGACCCGTCCCACAAAATGCAATCTCCCGTTAGCAGAATGGATTATGTGACTGAATATCACTCACCCCAAACAACCTGAGATAAAATGGTCTTAACGGGTTGCCTAGAGCGCTTGGGACATTTTTAATTGAATACCAAAGATACAGAATCACCTCCTACTGCTGATTTTTTTTTTTTAAAGCACTGTTTTCACTCTAAATAATTCAGCATTTAGAGTTGATTTACCCCTATGATTTTCTCTGACTTCCAGAGCCAAGTGTCATTAGGACAGAAAGACCTCAGCTCTAAGTACGTATTTCCTTACTTAAGACAGAATACTTGAGAAGACAACCCGCATTCACAGGAACAGAGATGGAGACTACCACATTGCCTTTCCTGCTTACTCTCTAAAAGTCCTTCCTCCAACTTCGTTTTCTCTATTAACTGGATAAAACAGTCTGTATGGGAGACAGAGAGGAGGATTGTTCAACATCACAAAGATTTCTTCTAAAAGGCATGGTCTGGGATGACATCTTTTTAAAGTGTTTTTTTTTTTTTTTTAAGCCTAGTAGACGATTTTTCCTTTTGCAACCATGAAATTTCCTTACGTGTATATTTTAAGAACATAAGAAATTAAAAAACAGTAAAAACTATAAGCTAATAAAACAAGTATGGAAAAGTACGGAGTAGTGGGATACTTTACCTTATGTATATTTTACCATAATTAAAAAAAATCCCGAGTAACCTGTATAAGATGGGAGGCTAACATCATGAGGCATACATACGTAGTCTATTACAGATACATAACGGGACCCACGTGAAGAATTCTAACATCCTTACAAAAGCACCAAAGAAATGAAAGCATCAAAAACAAAGTCAGACATTAAAAGGGAGGAATTCTGTATGCCATGGTTAAGCTGCTTCTTTTTACCAAAAAAAAAAAAAAAAAAGTAAGAAATATCAAAATCATTTCCATATCCCTGAACCACAGTGTCAAATTATTCTTTTAATTTATCCGTTACCCATGGGATACAAGAAACCCTCCCTTAAAAATAGGTATGCACTAGAGAAAAAGATACTCCAAACGCAAGAAAAAGTACGTCGTGGACAAACAACCATCCAACGTGGCGTGATAATCTATGTGAGCACACTTGTCTTAGACACCAGCTGCGCTGCAGGGATGGTTCGAGCTCTCCTTACCTAAAGGAATGTGAAAAGGCTTGCAATCTGCAAGAAGCCACAGTAAGCATTAAAAAAGAAAGGAAGTTCTGGTAAATCTACAATAATGAAATAACCTACTTTTTAAGAGTTGTATTAAGGTTTTAACTGGATTCTGCGGTAAAATACAAACAAGCTGGTGTGAAAAGGAATGAGAGCACCTGTGAGATGTTTATCAATTGTCCAAAGAATCCCAGTAAGCTATGTTTTATTACACAATGCTTAGAATGTCGATAGTCCAGAGACGATAAGCAAGTCATTTGGTTTTCTGGTACAGAGCATGTAATACATTGATTGCCAAACTTATTCAACCAACCAAATTCTGGTTGTAAAAGCTACATTCCCCACAAATGAAAAGCACAAAGTCATGCAATCTGGGGGTTTGGTGGGTAAAACAAAAAAATTTTCATGCCAACAGAAGCACAGCAAATGTAAACCATGTTTGTCACTTTCAGCGCTATTCTAATCGACATGGGGCGGGGGGCAGGATGAGGGACACACAAAAGCACTGAAAAGCACTGTGAAGTGGTTTTATCGAAATTGCCACAGAAATTCTGCAGACTAATCTAAAATATAAATGCAAAATGAAAAGCAAAGCTCCGTATCAAGATTTGGGCCTAAGCGTGGATGTAGAGAGAGCTACAGTATACATCAGTACACAGACGAGCACGCTGTCATCACACCACGGTGTTTAACAGTGTCCCACACAGAACTGAAGGCAGGTCTCAGTCGAAGCGTGCAGGCAGTGCTCCTGGACGTGTCCCCAGCGGGACAACAGGCTCGGCCCACAACCACAAACTTGCAACTAAGAGAGACATACTTACCCTGCATGATCAGGAAGGACTAAAAGGACAAAAGTACACAACCAGAATTTTCCAACAACCTTAAATATACTCGTAGGATGACTGTTTTGAATGCTATGCCTAAAAGTCGGAAGGCTCCACCTAAAATAATTTAGGCACAATTTCAGGTCCGGTTTGAAGGAGTGGCCTCCCTCACTCACAAAGAGAATCCAGCATTAGCCACAGCCAAAGTCGGGAGGTAAACACAACCACAACATACTTCAATCTGCCTCAGTTACTTAATGAGCAAAGAGAAACGAGGACATACTTTACATCTTCCAGCTTTTTGGTGATGACGGATCCAACAGATGAGAAAGCAGCTGATGCCTTCTGTCCAGCCTGAGATAAGGTTTCGGATGTCTTTTTGTATCTATGTTAAATTATAAAAGAACAAAGAAAAGTTAAGCTAACATTTTCTAATAGCAATTATTTAAAGCACAATCACCACCTCTCAGAGAGCTCTCGAAAATTAAAACAAATTTTGTCTTCAGAACATCCAAACTCCTTCACAACCGCTGGGGGCGTCACCCCCCTCACCCGAATTCCACCCCTCACTGGGGGGCTGTCTTCACCAGTGCCCTGGGACGGCCACACAGAAGGAGGACTAGGAAGGCAGGGCCAAGGAAATCAGGGTACAGGGCAAAAACAGTCACGGAGAAGAGATGAAAATGAGCCAAAGGCTTTTTCCACTGAAGCCAAACAAAACAAAAATGAAATCAAATTCCTCCCATGCCTTTTATAACTTTATGTCCTAAAAAGGGATTAGAAGCAAGGTAAGGCCCAAGTGTACTTTATTATTCAAATAAATTATATGGGCTATCAAGATTTTTTTTTTTTTTTTTTTTTAATTTTGCAGGTCTGCAGAGCTACCGAGTAAGGACTTGGGGACTCTGGGCAGAGTACATAAAAGGTGTGACACTGAAAATGACTTGAGTGGGGTATTTGCTAGAATCTAAAGCTATCACTGACCACCTCCCTCTTCCCATCTATCCAGGGATTAGTGAAGGGAAAATAAAAACAAATGAATATGGGAGCCACAAAGAGGTTAAGATCCTCACATTACAGAGAGGAATGCTCGGGCATTTTTACTTATCCCATCAAGATGAAATACTAAAAACAGAAAGTTTATGGTGATACACAGTCAAAAGACTAGTTCCCTGGACTTCTGAAGGAGAAAGTGGCTCAAAGGGGGCGGACACCTAGTGCTTTCCTGTCAGGATGCTGTCAGCCTCACTGCCGTTGGTCACCAGCTCAGCGCCAGGACCAAAGATACAGACATAAAGAACACACTTTAGAATCTGTCCCTAGAAGCTTTCTCCTCTGTGTGCAGGGACACAAAACTGCATGATGATCATGCCGTATCAAAATCTGTGTGATCGAAAAGATAAGAAGATTGAGGGGTGGGCCTCTGCCACCAGCACCCATCGGAGGCAATGAACCAAGAGTCTTGCACTGTATAGAGAGAAGGGTGAAGAAAGACTGGCTCTGTACTTGGTCAACCGAGAGTTCAAATCCTGCCCCGACATTTTTGATTTTGTGACCTCAGACCTTCCCTGATCCTGTTTCCTTATCTCTGGCTACCTCACCTCCCACCCTACCCAGTCATCCTGAGGACGACTTGACGCATTTCCAGCAAGTCAACACACAACACTGTTGGAACTTAAATGTTATTATTTCAGCTCACAGACGAGGCTGGTTTTCTTTCTATCCCTATTCCCCTAGTGTGGAAGACCAGAGTTAGAGAAGAGTCAGATGCACCTGAGGACTGGGCGGGAGAGCCCTGTGTAGTCCAAAGAAGAGCTACAGAAGCACCCTCATCTCCTTTCAGTTCTCCTGCCCAGACAAAAGGAGCAAAAGCATCCTTTACATTCTCTAGAAAAATCTATGATCAAGGGAACATACGCAGATGTTGCTGTCACATCCTGCCAGCCTTTGGCAATGTTCTGTTTTAGTTCCTGCAGTGAGTTGATCCCAAGTTTCCGTTTGATCTCTGCTAGATGCTTCTCTTTTGCTGCTAACACTTGAGACAGAGTCTGGATTTCTTCTTCTACCTATGAGGAAGGGGTGGTGAGGTAAAAATACAGCAAGAGTCATTCAAAAAGTGAAGATTATTAGTGCAAAACTGTACTCAAAATTTTGGAGTCATTTAAAAACATTTGACTCATTTGTCTCTTTAAAAACAACATACAGCATTTTGTTAAGTTAACTGGTTACATGCCAATCTCTCCTGTAGAGCTTCTCTTTTCTGTTTTTTTTTTTTTAATAATCTTTTTTTTTTTTTTTTTAATTTATTTATTTGACAGACAGAGATCACAAGCAGGCAGAGAGGCAGGCAGAGAGAGAGGAGGAAGCAGGCTCCTTGCCGAGCAGAGAGCC